ACACCTCTAAGGATTAAGCATTTTGGAAACCAATAAAAGAAAACATTGAAGCATGTCTGACACAGACCTCTCCTCCATACTTCCCTGTTCCTCCTATCCTCCCTCCATGAGTCAGGTAATGTTAACTTTGAATCAGACATTGGGTAGTTTCTTTTGAGCATTACATAAACAAAGTTTTGATCATAGCCTATGAGGCAACTGACCTGTAATCATTTGCATTTCAACATATGTGGCTTGAAAAACAGAGCAGTAAGTTACCCTACATGCTCTTTTATTTGAATTCCACAGGAAGTTACTCACCATATCATTTTTTGTGATACAAGAATGCACTAAAGAAATAGATTATACCATAATAAAATGCTCACACAACCATAACTTTTGAGTGAAGTATTTGAATTACATTATATAGGCAGGAATACTCCCTTTCTGAAGCTGATAACAATGCCTCCACTTATTGAGTGGTTCCTATGTGGCAGGCTTTGTGCTGAATGCTTTACAGACGTTTCCATTTAATCTTCCTATCAGTCCTACCAGGTGTGTATTATTATCATCCTTATTTTCAAATGAGGAAAACAAAGCTTAGTCTGCAAATATTTACTGAGCAACTACTATGTGCCAGACCCTTTTCTAGGCCAACAAGTTGAAGTTTAAAGACATAAAGGAACCTGCAGTTTGGGCCAAGGCCTGTCTCAGCTTTTATCATGATCCCATATTGCCTTACTGGGAAGAATGTTAAAGACGCATTTCAAGTATTTGTATCATAGAATACCCTTAGCTCTTTATAGAGTATATCAGCGTCTTTCATCATAGGCAACTCTAGAATCATTGAATTTTGTATCTTGAGGGGAACATAGAGAAAATCCTTACATTTCCCAAAATTTGAATTCTCTCAACTAAAATGCTCAAATAGATGTAGAAATTCCTGTTGTCACTTAAGATGTGTGTCAATTAAGAAAATGTTCTTGATACTTATTTGGGAACTTAAAAAACACAAAATTTGTACACATGCAAGATATGTCACCATGTATTTTGTTTGATTATTATCTTACATGAGATAATTTGAACCTAAGTTTTCTTTCTTTCTCTCTGTAAAGAAATTGTTAAATAGTCTCTAGCAATTACTTTTTCTTTTTTTGTGAATAATAAACATGCCTCAGATAATGTAAAGGGAAAGGACTTTTCAGAGAGTTGACAGTGATTACACCTCATGGGTTTTCTATAGTAGTAACAAAACTATATGTAATAGAGCTGTGAATTCTGGATGTATATAAGGTAGAGATTGTGCCATGAGCCAGAGTTAGTCATCTTGTAACTTTTCCAGACTGATGGAACTCCATTTTTTGAACAAACGTTATTTTGTTAAGTAAATGCCCATTTAAACTTGTATACAAAGGTTGTAATTATAGCAGGAAATTGTTGGGGACAGAGGAAGTTAAATTTGGTTGTCTTGTCATACATCAGGAATGATTTCTTGGAAATCTAGTCCAGATTTTCGACTGAGGTTTGCTGTTTCCTTTTGCTGTAGCTTCAAGTAGTAACTTTCCAATATTTCCGTTCTGACTGAGAGACTTATGCGGGGGAAGGAGGTGCATAGAATCAGCCCTTTGTGCTGGTTGTACACCAAGCAGCAAAAAGACAGTAGGATGTGAGGATATCACTTAACATTATATTAGGACATAAAAGGCTGAATGTGAAAGTTCTAAAGTAGTGTTGTCCTCTAGAACTATAATTCCATTCTTGACAAGTAAGCCCCATATATAAGTGTATAAGTGTACGTTTTATAGTAGTCATGTGAAAAAGTAAAAGAAACAGGTGAAATGAATTTTAATGAAATATTTTAACTCCATATTTTCAAAATATTGTTTCAACATGTAGTCAATATAAAAATTATTACTGAGCTACTTTACATTCTTTGTTTGCACTAAGTCTTTGAAATCTGGTGTGAAGTTTACATTTACAGCACATCTCATTTGCGACCAGCCAATCTTATTTTAAGTATTTCAAGAGCCCTGTGTGGCTAGTAGCTACCATATTAGCCTGCACAGGGTGATCTCTAGAGGCATCTATTCTTTGAATAACTACACTTAAGGGTTTTCCTCTCTTAAACAGGAAAGAAAAAAAATTACTCCTGCTCAGGGTAATGTCAGCTTCTCTGTTCAAATAACTCTTTTTGCAGCCACCTACAAGAAATATCCCCCAGCCTCATTTGATTTTCCCAAATTCTCCCACCCCAATTCCCCAATTCTTGCACTTCTCTTGTATTTATAAAATAAATAAACGAAAACGGTTTGTTAACTGAAAGAAAAAACATCGCTTTTCTCTTTGGGCCAAAGGAAGGAGAATGGTGCTTTTTCTAAATCAATTCACAAATACTTATCAGGTACACAGACCATTATTAACAGTCCATTTCATGCTTCATTCCTGCAATGTGACTACTGTTCACATTAACTTTGTTTTAGAAGTTATTCTTCTAGTTCTCGAGGTAAAAAGAATAAAAGTTGATACTGAAATCAACTTTTCAGTAAACAATTTGATTTTAAAAAGGCTGGTTCACCCTTACAGTGAATTATTCACACGGGGCTGTGTTAGGACACATAATTGTCTCCTTAAATAGGTATGATTTTATCAAAGCAAGAATGTTAGTTGGAATAATTGATCACTGTTTAGCGAGCTAATTTACCTTAAAACAACTAAACTGACCAACTTCTTTTCGCTGTAAGTAATGGTAATGTGGCTTTGCAATGTAAATGAAAGACAAATTAGGCACTTCCTACGTAAATGCAAAACAATACACAACTCCTTATCCTGAAACTTCTGTGAATTGTTTTTACCGTCTGGAATTACGGAGTCGGTGCTACCAAAATTAGTTAAGTTTGGATTCAGACTGGATTTGCAGCACTTGAATCAAGCATGTTGGGGGAGGTGACAAAATCAGGAGCTAAATCCTCCCCACCCCCCAGACCACGTTGAGCCTACCCAGATGTTGCTCAACCCTGAGTTGTCCCCCTGAGTCCAAGGCTGCAAGACAGGGCGCGCAGCAAGGACTTCCGGCCTCAGGTTCCCTAAACAGATGGAGCCTCTTCAGGTGGCCACGAGGCTCCCGGGCCTCGAGCCTGTGCCAGAGGGCGCGCAAGCGAAGGCAGCAGAAAGATCCCAGCACCTGCCTCCCTCGGGCCCAGCGAGAAACCTTGCACCGCCCGCGCAGACCAGGCCAGCTAGGTGTGGGGCTCTAATCTCAACCTCACACCTGCGTTAGGGAGGAGGCCGAGTGCTCGCCAGGTGTCTGGGTCCCGGGATGATGAAAGGGAGCTGTTAAGAGGCGTGCACCGGAAGCTCAGTGGGGGACGCGTTGTGGCCGCCGGGCGTGGGAGGACTGGGGCGCCTGAGCTGAGGCCGGAGGGGGTGAAGGCACTGGCCTGCCTGGAGATTTCCCTTTACTTTTTTTCCTTTTCCTTGTGGGGGTGGGGGGGTCGGGCAATGACCGGTGGCTGCAGTACCTTTCCACTCAGCCCGGGGACTTTTACGCAATTTTGCCCACGCGTACGGAGCTTGCAAGGCACCCGGCGCGGAGAACACGGGGTAGAACCCCCCACCCCCGGCGGGACTCAATCCAGGAGCCCAGGCCTCTCCCCACAAACACTCTGTCCTCTTGGATTCCGTTGCCGTCTGGGGATTGGGTTTCCTTAACCCAGGGCTTCCCTATCTTAGGCCGGAGGAGGAGTTAGCCCCTCCCTCACTCTCCCTCCTCCACCCTTGGCCAGCCTGGTTTTTTAATCTAATCTTTTATTTAAAGTCAACAAGAGGAGCAGGAACCCCAGGCTCCTGCCAACAGTATATTTTAAAATAATTCCCCAACCTCTGCCGAGAGGGGCGGCCTCAAGAAACATCCTTGTTTTCTTCGTGCAGATTTAGGTATCAGGGAGTGGGGGACTTCGAGAGCCGAGGCTAATGATGCCTGAGGGCTCTGCAGACTTTGGGTGGGGGGCAACTCAAGCAAGACAAATACATTCCAAACATTAAAAATATAACCAGAGCCTCGATTTGGAGGGCCTTAAACCGAGAGCCAAACCTCCAGGGGGCTCCAGGGCACAAAGCCTTACATGTCCCCGTCGTGGGGTGCGTTAAGGGGGGGGGGGCAGGTGAATGCTCAGCGTGTGAGCCTGGATAGGGCGGGTCCTGGCCCATTAAAGGATGTGCCCATAGACATGACGTGCCCACAAATACCCACCGAGGAGTCAGACCGAAAAGACACCCCACGCTCCCTCCCCGGGTCCTTGGCACCGGACTGCGCTCACTGCACCTCGCCCATCTCTCTCCCCAGCTAGGAGGGGCCACTGTTTTCTACATCACTAAGTATCCTCCGACCTGCTCGGACCCTTGGCAGTTAAAAGCTTCTAGCCTTTCGCTCCTCTTGCCCTTCCCCTCTTCTTTCCCCCACTACCCGCCGACGCCTCCAGATCTCCCCGGCTCGCCCTTCCTGAAAGTAGGCGAGGCCCAGAATCTCCGGCTAGGGCGAGGAAGGAGGGAGGGGCAAAGCGCGGCGGCAGGGGGCGTGTCTTCTCAAGCCCCGCCCCCGGGTGCGCGCGGCGGTGGCGGCGGCGGCAGAGCCTCGCTTTGAGAGACAGGTATCGCTTAGGCGCCATGTTGTGAGCGGAAGTGGGGGAGCGCGCGGCCGCCGCTGTTCTGCTGGGAGCGGGCGCGGGAACCGGCGGGGGGGGCGGAGCTGTAGTCCCGGCGGCGGAAGGAGGAGAGGAAGAAAGGGGTGAGACCCGGTGCCCGGCAGCGGCGCGAGGCTCTCGCTTGGCGCGCGGACGTCGTCAGCCAGGCGCGCGGCGTTCGAGGCTCGGTGTCGGCGCCGAGCCCTCTCCCGGGCAGCCGGCGCTGGTGCTGCTGCTGCTGCCGCCGCTGCTGTCGTGGGGCTCGGGTGGCGACAGAGCGGGGCCGGCCGCGGGGCGGGCGGGGAGGGAGGAGGCGGTGAAGGCGGCGGGCCGGGGGGGAAGATGCCGCTGGCGCAGCTGGCGGACCCGTGGCAGAAGATGGCTGTGGAGAGCCCGTCCGACAGCGCTGAGGTGAGTGCAGCCCGGCGGTCGGGGGCTGGTGCGCCCCTCCCCTCGCCCCCGCCGGCCAGCTCCCCTCCCTGGAGCTGGCCACTTGGCCCCTTCCTCTGCCGCTCGCGTCTCCCCTTGGTCCATGATTCCGGTTTGGGTAGTTGGGGTTGGTCTGTTTGCCCTTCTGTTCCACCCGCACCTCCCCTCCCTCGCTCGGGGGGCTGTGGTGTGGTGGCGCGTGGGGTTTGGAGTGGGCGCTGGGGCTTTGCAAGAAGCCGATTTTAATCAACTTTGCGTGGGGGGAGCGGGAAGCGGAGCGGGGGCCGGAGAGGAGTTGGGAAGTTTGGCCCTGCCTGGTTGGGGCCCCCCCTGGATCCTGGTGACTCTGGGGTGTAAGGGAGGGGTATGGATTGGGTTCATTGGGGAGCAAGGGACTCTCGAGTCCGGCCAGGGGAGAGAGTTGGTGCTTTGAGTCGGGCGCGCGGGGACTGGAAGGGCCCAAGGCAGGGCTGGCGACCTGTGGGGGTTTTGGTTAAGGGGTGCAAGACAGCCAAGGTTTTTGCCTTCCCCCAGTCTGTCTGCTGCAGCGGTTTCTGCTGGTACAAAGGGGAAAGTGGAAGCCTGAGGTCCTTCCTCCTCCCCCATATCTGAGGTCACTGAGCCCAAGGACCCTGTCCCTAGGAGCTTTAACTCGAGTTTCCTGTCCTTGGAGGTGAGAGGGTGATATTCAAGGCGATCAGCAGCCGCCGTAAAGGGCTTTCAGGTTTTCTTCGCCCGGGGTGACCGTCCCTGAGACAACCAACCGAGTGCCCAAAAACCAAACAGTGTACCCAAACACGGCAAAACAGAATTTCCCTGGACACAGCACAGCATCGAGCTTTTGGAGCCGCCCCTGTCCCAGAACCAACTCGGGGTCTGCGAAAATAATCCAGACGAGACCCACTCCTGGGCATCAGCGCTCCTCTCCGAAGTGGAAAATCAATTCCTGATGGTGGCTTGTCTGTGATTCTTCCTTCTTGACTTTTTGCTGTCTTCTATCCCCGCAGCGGACTTTGGGGGATTACAGGATGATAGGCTTCGTGTGTGTAATAGTTAGTGAGTGACCCCATTTCTGGAAAGCATGACTGAAACGCGGGGGTGGAATGGGGCAGGCTCGGATGAGTGGTGTACTTGGCGGCAGCCGCTGCCCTGCCGGCCTCCGCAGTGTGAGAGGTGGATAGGGTTACCGGTTACGTCAGTAAGACCGAGGCTCAGTTTGATCTGAGTGAAATGCGGGACACTTGCATTCTCGGGTATAATGGAGGGGGAGGGGGATCAGTTCAAATCGCTTTTCAGTTTTTTTCCTAGTCACCTCCACTGCTGTTTAAAATGTTCACTTGCTCTCCCTAACGTGAGCAGAGTTGTAATAGTGCTACGACTGGTACTTAGTATTTTGTGACTTGGACCATATTTTTAAAATCTAAACTAAACGCTGCTTTTCAATAGAAAAGATCTTGAGATAAGTTACTGAATATTTTTTAAAGGAAATCACATTTATAAGACTAGCAGAATTACATTTAAAATTATGTTAGCCCGTTTAATTCTATAGATGTTTTATAAGAAAATTGAATTTAGAACGTTTAATCATTCTTTGAATGGATAGTGTGAAAATCAGTATGCCAATAGGGTCTTTTCATTCATTTTTTCCTTCACATTTTTTTTTTTGTGTGTGTTAAACAGTGTAGCTGAAAGGTTAATAACATGTTCTCAAAGTGCTGACCTTGTGAAAAGAAATTGAATTTGCTTTGAGCCTGATTGTTACATGCAAACGGTAACATTTGCAACTCATAATCAGTCCACATTTCTGCTTGGCACGTATCAATGTGTTAAAAAAATCATTTAAAATTCCACCTTATCCTTTTTCTACATAGCATACTTTTGGATAAGGAAGGCACAAAACTGACACTTAGTATATGCCAGATACTACATGCTATTTCATCTTATCCTTCCTGTGACCCAACATAGTACGATTGTGGTGCTCATTATTACAGATTAAGAAACTGAATCTCAGAAGTTAAGGGCCCAAAGATTATAAATAGTAAACGGCAGATTCATAATTCAAAGCCAGGTGCATGTAATTCATGTGCTTCGCTTTATATTAGCTGCTTCCAATCCTTTGTGGAAAAATTTAGGGTATAAATAAGCCAGTAGTTAGAGGTCATGTATTTTTCAGAAACAGTTATGATATTATAAGCAGTCTCACTTGTTAAAGCCTAGTTATTTCAGTTACTGTCATGGTCTCCAGAACCTGGCAGATAGGATTCCATAATTTGCCATGTTCAAAGAATCTTCTTGATATTTTGGCATAAGGTATGTCACACAGAGCTAGTGTTGCCTAGATTAATTTTAAAAAGATTTTTAAAAATTGACTGTAGATATTTTGCCTTTAGTTGTTCAGCTGTTTCAAGTAAATTACTTCTGCTACAACTTTGGAAATTGGAGTCAGTAAGGAAAAGGGTTGATCGGTTTTTTGAAAGTCATTTATTTGAGTAAATACATCAAGTTTTTTCTCTCCAGGCTGAAAGGTTTCAGGGTTGGTCTCTATAGGAATTTAAATTTGTGGCCTCGAATTTCCTAGTAGATTGTGAAATCTTGTAAGCAGACACTTTTTCCTCTGTATCCTCAGCACTTAACACAGTGCCTGGCACATATGTATTATGGACCCAGTAGATGACCACTGAATGAATTATGATGGTGAGGAATAGGGTGATTATCAATCTTCTTTCTGTTCTTACCATTTTAATCTTACATTGAAATATGAACAATCTTAAAAGACCTGACTACCTCACCGACAGTACAGGCAGTTTCTTCATTCCTTTACATGGCCTTCCTGCTTTCAAACCTCACATGGGTTTCATGATGCTCAAAACAAAACAAAACAAAAAAAACCCTTGTGGTTAACTCAAACATGGGTCAGAACGTGATAGGCTAGAACTAGGCCAAATGTTTAAAGAAGCAAATTTAGGATAATAAAGGAGTACTATATAAGCAGTCAAGGTTGGTACGAGATTAAAAACAAAATAGCTTCCTAAGTAGTCCAGGTGAATTCACAACTCTTTAATGAGTTATTGAAAGATGCTAGTATGTTTTTGAGTATCTGACTGTTTAGAAGATGGGTATCAAGGACTGTGGCTCTTCTGTAAATTCCTTGCCACCGCTCTCAGAGATAACATTTACTGGATCATAAGCCTGACCTCAAGTGACACTTTTTCTCAGTTTTCAATAAAGGATAAATGATAGTAAATTTAAATAAGAACAGTTTTCCAAAATAATAAAATTAAGGTTATGTTTGCTTTATAGAAATGTGCTGTATAAAAATAGCTGCCTTGAATTCTTTTAAATAGCAAGTACCCATAATGAATTAAAATATTAACTACATAAATATTTTCTTTATAAAAAATTGAGACCCTTGTGTTAGAAACTATCTTCAGTGGATGTGCATCCATTTTTATCTTCAAAGATCATACTGGATTCTATAGTATTTCTACTACATTGATATTAGGTTTCTTATATTTTATGTGTAGGGAAAAACATTCTATTAAAGTATGATCATTGATTTTGAAAAAAAAATGTTTCATTAAGTTTCTTTTCCTTTTCCTGTTTCATTTGTACCACCTTTCAGGGTTTTTTTCTTTCCCCCAAGTGAAGATCTGAGGACAGGACAGGTATTGTTACATGCCAACTGTTAGAATAACTGTGACACATTACTGAACACTTCATTGTTTTCACTAATTATGATATAGGATGTCAGTTTTTGTTAAACTTAGGAAAGTTTGTTTTATTTTGACAGCTCCTCCTATACTAATTAGGTTGACCCAAAATATGAAATTTATTTGGTACATTTAAGTTTTAACATAAAGAGATAAACTTAAAGAAACAAGCAGACTTTGCCTTTTTTAAAAAAATTTTTTTAAACGTTTATTTATTTTTGAGACAGAGAGAGACAGAGCATGAACGGGGGAGGGTCAGAGAGAGGGAGACACAGAATCTGAAACAGGCTCCAGGCTCTGAGCTGTCAGCACTGAGCCCGACGCGGGGCTCGAACTCACGGACCGCGAGATCATGACCTGAGCCGAAGTCAGCCGCTTAACCGACTGAGCCACCCAGGCGCCCCGACTTTGCCTTTTTTAAAATATGTTTAGGAAATCACAATGAGTATATCCTATTTTTATATAAGGAGAGTGGCATAATTGGGATGTTCAATCTTGACCTAGGACATGATAATCAGTGAATTACAGATTGATCAAAAATGTAGCAGATCATTTATCAGAAGTCTGAATGGCAGAATTGTTGCAAAGATTTTTTAAAAATTTGTCACGTACTAAGAAGTTTATACCATTGTGATCATTAACAAGATTTGCTCTAGAGTTCCACGTTCCAGGGACATGTGATATACCAGGCTGTGAATGTTGGGTGACGTGAAAGGCCCCGGTTTGCCAAGTGCAGACCAGATGCTTTAGACCCAGTGATTCAGATTACAGTGTACAACAGTGACATCTTGGTGGTCTCTTGGTAATGCATGAGTGTGATAGAGCTCAGTTGTTTATGTGTTTTGGTGGATAACAACTTTCAAAGCCTTGGGATACAATTGTGCAGACATATATATTATATATCTGATTCCCCAATTCACATAATAGAAAATACAAACAACTGTATTTTAATTCTTGGCATTAGATGTCTTCCCCTCCTGCACTTCAGAATTGATACAGTTTTCCGTATCATTTAATCTGGAACAGTTAGCAGATCTCATATATTCCAGTTTGTCAGTTTAATACCAAATAACATAAAAGCAAAGATAAAATAACTATAAATTTTAATTGTTATGAAATGTAGAGTTAAAAAACACAAATGTATGCATTTTATGAAGCAGATTTAGGATAAAATGTATCCATATAAGACATAAGTTTTTCATACATTTTATATATCAGTTGCTAGCAATTAAATATTTCAATTTTTACTTATCTCCTTGAAATTGAGAAGGC